CCAAGCTGACCATCAGGGGCGCTTGTGCCACCTCCAGGTTGGTAACAGGGTTACAACATGGGTTGTAAGCTACCATTGGTACTAGTTGTAGCACTAGTAGGGTCCCTTGAGAATGGTAGGATCAGCTCGTCGTTTGAGACGAACCAGGCCGAACCGGGGCTGTGGTAGTCACAAGAAGGTGCAGTTACTATCACATCCTTTGTCACTTATACAGCAGGCTGTTAGGTTACCAGCTCTTGTAGGGTGTGTTGTTCAGGATCCGTCACTTTGAGAGCTTACGATGAACGCATTACTCAATTAAACGCAAATCCACTCAGTAGGATTGTGCGCCTTAGCCTTAGGTACCATCTCCAAGTTGAATCAGTCGTTAAGATGGCCTAGCGAGTGAGAACCGAGTAAAAACGTCCAGTAGCCGCATGACTAGAATGGTGGAGGAAGTACAAACATTTAGGCATAGAGAGTTGGAGTTGGGAACCTCCAAGATAACCATGAGAGGGAAGGGGCTCTCCAAGAGCTAGGGAAGGATGGTAGGAACCTTCCTAGCAGCAAGGATACAACCCTCATCATGAGGACCTTGAAGTGTCACATGCAAAATCCAATCTAGTTGGATTTTGCCTAGGTGTTGCAACATTTGCAACCCATGCTAGAAACTTCTAGCCACCCCAATCCAAAAGTCAAGGTTGCCTTCCCAAACCACCCAACCAAAGATCCCTTTATAGTCATGTCCCAAGTAATCACCCAATTTAGATATAACCCCAAAAGGTAATAAGAAATCCAAGTCTTGGAAATCTTGTAACTTGGGCGATCTTGGTCGGAATAAGGTGATCTTGGTATCGTTGGAAAGCTCTGGATTTCTCCTGCATGATCAAGCATTTAAACTTGGAGAAAAACACAGAGATTAAAATATCCAACAGCCATGCACAATGACATATGCTCATGCAAACAATGCACGCATGAATAGCACGAGCACTCGGCAGGACGTTAGGATGACATGCACTCAGAATGACGTGCATCCAACAGGGTGCAGTGGTAACCATGCGGTGGTTACCAGCTTGAGATTGCCATGCAATGCATGTTCCCAATGGTCACACTAGCAACGCTCCTTAGTTGGCATTGCTTCAGCTGCTCACATCGTCGTTGCTCAATACGATCCTCATCGCATCCTCTCTCCTCCTCTCTCCTCTTTCCGCTCTGCGCACCCTCTTTCTCTCCCCTCCCTCTCCACACCAGGTGCATCATCAGCGGGGGTGGCGCCTTCCCCATATTCACCTCCCCTGCGTCCACCCCCAAGGGGGGAAAGTTGACTCTGGTCAACCTCAGGTTCCAACAGGCAGCAGGAGGCGTCTTTAAAAATGTACGGACGGCGATCAACGCGAGTCAATGCAATTTTGTCAACAACACGGTTTCTGACATTGGCGGAGGGGTGCTCAGGTGAGGAGTTGAGAGCGTGAGAAGGGTTCGCAGGTGAGAGTGATGGTGGGGTGGGGAGGGACAGGGGGGGGAGGGTGCGAGGGATTTTCAGGTGATTGTGTGTGTGGCGTGAGAATGTGTGAGCGTGTATGGAGCAGGTGAGATTGTGAGTGCACGTAGAGTGTGTTCATGATACAGAGGTGAGAGTGTGTGGTGCTTGTTACTTTGTATCACCTTCTATGCACGTGTATAAGAGTAATTGGTCACTCGTCAGCACCACAACACACCACACTTTACCACGTCACACCACACCACACCCCACTTTGCCACGTCACACCACACCACACCCCACTTTGCCACGTCACACCACACCATGGTTGCCAATCAAGAGCACCTTCCCTTCGACAGTCATGCCCCTCGACCATCTCAGTCCTTGCTGCAGCTTTTGTGACAAGGCCCTTTATCGCAGCACCTTCCAGAGTAACACTCACGTTGCTTGCTAACAGAAGCTCTTGTTTCCTCCCTTCTCTTATGTCCCCACCCTTCTCTCATTCCCTTCCCCACTCTCACATCCCCACCCCTCCCTTGTTCCCTGCCCCACTCTGATATCCCCAACCGTCTCTTGTTCCCACCTGCACTGTCATATTCCCACCCTTCTAATGTTCCCTCGCCCACTCCCATACCTACCCCGCCTTTCTGTATTCCCCCAACCACTTTTGTCTCTTTTCCTGCGACAACCACCTCATCTCTTCCTGCGCTGCACCTTCCATTGCAGCATTGGTGCACACCACGACCATTGGTGAACGATGCTTCTCAAAAACACATACCCCATGCCTTCCACCCACCCCTCCGTCCCTCCCTCACCCTTCAATCTCTTCCCAACCCACCAGTGACTCCTTCCCGCCTTCAACCAACCCTCCCAAGCACGTCTTCTCAAACTGCACCTTTGAGAAGAACACGGCGCTAACATGGGAAGGCGGCGCCATCAGCATCAAAGCCAAGAGCTTCTACTCCTACAAGCACAACGATCACGTGCCTGATCTCACTTTTCGGGGCTGCCGCTTCAGGAGCAACAATGCGTCCAGACTGGGAGGGGCGGTGTCTGTGGCAGGGTCAGCCAGGGTGCGGTTCTTTGATTGTGTGTTCGGTACGAACCGCGCTGGTGAGTGTGGGCGTGTGTGTGTAGGTGTGTGTGGGTGTGTGAGCACTGGCGTACGTGTGAGTGTGTGTGAGAGAGAGTGTGTATGATTGTGTGTGCGTGCGTGTGCGTGCGTGTGCGTGCGTGTGTGTGCGCGTATGCGCGCACGCGTGTGTATATGTGTGTGTGTGTGTGTTTGTGTGTTTGTGTATTTGTGTGTGTGTGTGTGTGTGCATGTGTGTGTGTGTGTGTGTGTGTGCATGCGCGCGCGCGTGTGCATGTTTCTGTTCTTAGCTGACACTTGAGTCTTCTCGGTCAACACAAAGCCTTTTTGAGTCAAGTATGTTCTCTACGATTCCTACAGGTCTAGTATCCTATATGGCATTCCATCGTCTAGCCTACTATCCATCTCCACCTCTCCCTTCTAATGGGCACCGGTTTTTCAACCGACCCCTTTTGGGAAAGGCCTCGTCTAAAACAGCACGCTCTCTCTTCGGTATCACCTACCCTCCCTCCATCCCCCCCTGCATCTATCCAGGTGCATCTGGGGGAGCCGTCTATTCTAAAGACGCCGCCATCTATTTCGGTCAATCCTCCTTTTCTGGAAATGCGGCACTTGGCACCTCCCTTGCTGGCGGCGACTCTTCTGGTGTCGGCGGCGCTGTCTACGCCGTCGTCACAGGAGTGGACAGCGAGAGAGCTGTTCGTTTCCGCTCATTCTCCATTTCGGGAAACTCAGCCAAGGATGTGAAAGCGCGCACGTTCTACTTCCAGACGGCCTGGGCCGCGTCGTCGCACATTTCTGGTGTGGTGTGGTTCTGCGATGGACCGAGTGGCACGGTGCTTACGAGTGGGTGGCTGGAGCAAACGAGCTGCCAGCCAGGTGAGGAAGACTGCCGGTGGGGCTGACTTTTGAGTCGACTCAAATGTCAAATTTCTGGTATGGTGTGGTTCTGCGATGGGTTACGGCAAAGTGGCACGGTGCTTACGAGTGTGTGGTCGGAGCAAACGAGCTGCCCAGCCAGGTGAGGAAGACGGCTGATTGGGTAAATGGGGAAAGAGTGGGTGACCAGCTTGGGTGGGAGTGCTGTGGGCGCAGTGAGAGCAGTGGGAGAAGGCGAGCAGTGGGAGAAGGTGGGAGTGCTGTGGTCCCCACAAGGGGTGACGGGTGGAGAGCCGATGCACAGCCAAGTGAGGGGTTGAGGGTGAGTGAGGGACGGGAGGGCATCGGTGCAAGTGCAGTCAGGTGAGAGAGGCGCAAGTGCAGTCAGGTGAGAGAGGCGCAAGTGTGGTCAGGTGAGAGAGGCGCAAGTGCAGTCAGGTGAGAGAGGCGCAAGTGCAGTCAGGTGAGAGAGGCGCAAGTGCAGTCAGGTGAGAGAGTGTGTGTGTGTTGCAGGGGGGAGAAAAAAAGGTGATCATTTTTGAGTTCTCAAACGCTGGGTTTTTGGAGTGCAGTGGGAGCAAGACCAGTGGGCTGGTGATGCCAACAAAGTGGGGGAGAATATGCACAGTTGGGGGAGGGTTGGAAAAGTAGTGAGCAGGAGCAAGACTAGAGAGTGAGAAGCTGAGCAAACGAGTGAGAGAGGGGTGCAGGGAGCTATATTCCATCATGCAAGTGAATGACCAGCTGCTATTCCTTCACCTTGTTTCACTGTTGCTTGCGCCATGTTTCTTCATACTGCTCTCCTCACGTCCTCCTTCCCCACCCTCTGCTTTCCTCCCCATGCCTCTCCCATCTCGCCTCTCTCCCCCCCGTCCTCCATCCAAGCAGCGCTGGTACTATTTGATCCCTGTCGGTCATGCTTCGCCGAATTCAGCTCCTGCTTTCAGCTCCTGCTTTCTGTTGGCTCCTCCTCGCCTCGCACACACCAGTGACATGCTTCTCAGGCATGCGATCGTAACCATAGCAAGCATTATGTGTGTTAGTGTGTTACTATTATGTGTCACTATGACCTAGTGTCCTATCGAACAACATGTACCATATCTCGCTCTTTTATCTTCTTTTGTAGTTAGTGTGTTACTATTATGTTTCACTATGACCTAGTGTCCTATCGAACAACATGTACCATATCTCGTTCTTTTATCCCACATAAAAAACCATTCTTGTATCGTCATACCCGGGAAGTCATGCTGGTGCGCTCATCAAACATTTGATTAAAGACAAAAACCATAAGCGCAAGGCTCATACCATATTATGGCAAATGAAATACCTTGTTTTTAACATCAAATTGCAGCTCTCCATAAGATTCATAATGTGGAGTGTTTTTTTACATTGTCGTGCATGCAAATCTTCGAGAAACTTCATAACATTTACAAGGCTGAATGTCAATGGCCTGGGGAATGGTACTAAGCAGCAACAGTTTGTCAAGGGACCCTTCACATGTGAGGTGAGGAGCCAGAGGAGAACATGAGGACAATCCAAACGACAGGAGGACAATCCAAACGACAGGAATCATGCCAGAGGAATGCGCAAGGGAGCATGAGGGAGAAGAGGAGTGTGGGCACCAAGAAGACTTTTGAGTCGACTCAAACGAGGAGTGTGGCCACCCGAGGTACTGACTCCATTGCAGGGAAAAGGTATTCAGATATGCCCATGGGCAGAAGGAGTAGGGGCAAACATTTGGTTACAGTGCAAGCAGCCTGCTCCCACTGCTTCCCCCCAACTCCGCACCAACTCCCCCCCAACTACCCCCCAACTCCGCACCAACTCCTCACCCTCACGGGCCCCTCTCTCACCTGGATGAGCAACTGGTCACCAGCTGCCACCCACTCGTTGGCACCACACTCCCACTCGGCTTGCTACAGCCGCAAAACGCCAACACAGCCGCCCACCGCGACCCGACCACGCCCGCTTCCAGATACAGGTTGGCCCCGTCCACAACTCTGGCGCTGTTATACTGGAAGGAGGTTGTCGAGCAGAAGCGCAGAGCAGCCTCGGTGTTTGTTCCCGAGGCAGCGGCGTAGACGGCGCAGCCTGCGCCAGAGGTGACGCCGCTGACAGCGGCAGCGCCGTGGGCCTTGTTGCTCAATAGGTTGGCTTTGACGAACGTGAGGGCGGCGACTTTGGAGTTAACTGCTCCCCCAGAAGCGTCTGAAAGGGTGGAAGGAGGGTTGGAGGGATGGATACACCAAAGAGAGGGTGTGTCGTTGGAGTGTTGTTCGAGATAATTTTTGAGAAGACTCAAAACGGCCACCACAACACAGAACCATACACATACACACACATGCAAACTCATGCACACACACATGCACACACATGCACGCACGCAGGCACGCACGCACGCACACACTCACTCATCAGCGCTGTTATCAGAAAAGAGACAACTCTCAAACCGCAGCCTGGCTGTCCCGGCCACCCTAACCGCCCCGCCCACATGCGTCAGCGCGCTGTTGCCGTTGAAGCTACAGCGCAGGAAGGTGAGCGCCGGCACGCGGTCAGTGAGGCCGAATGCATCAAAGGTGGCTGCGTCGATGTTGACAGCACCACCCCCCATGGGCGCCGTGTTGTTGAAAAAAATGCAGCCTGTGAAGAGACGCTTCGGAGGCGCGTCCATTAGTGGGAACTTGTCACTGGTGGGTTGGGGAGACATGAACGCCCGTTTGAGGAAGGCGGGGAGGGAAGGCGGGAGGGGTGGATGTGATGCCGTGTGTTTGGGAATGGGCGGGGATCAATGAACGATGCTCTGGAAGGTGCAGCGCAAGAAGAGACGGTGGAGTGTGGTGGATGTCGCAGGGAAGGAGCTCGCACCTCACACACTCACTTGCACCTCACACACTCACTTGCACCTCACACACTCACTTGCACCTCACACACTCACTTGCATCTCACGCACTCACTTGCACCTCACACACTCACAATTGCACCATGCACACACACTCTCACATGAGTCTCACGCAGTCAGTCGGGCACCCCTCTCAAGCGGTCCTTCATTGATATTGTGCACCCCTCTCACTCTCTCATCCCACCACTCCTCCCCCCTACCTGAGCACCCCTCCCCTGTTGTTGTGGGCGAACTCGCACTGACTCACGTTGATTGGCGCCAGCACCCTTACAAAGACGCTTTTTGCCTGCTGGAAGCTAAGGTTGACCAGAGTCAACTGCCCTGCCGTGGAGCCTGACGACGAGGAGGAGGCGAATATGGGGAAGGCGCCACCCCCCCCGCTGATGATGCATCTCGAGGTGCTGGGGACAGGAAGAGGTGCGGGAAGATGACAAGGGGAGAGGAGAGATGAGAAGGAGGTGATGGTGATGGTGGGTGCAACCGTGGTCCCGACCCACTGATCCTACCATTGCCATGTGACCCTGCTACGAAGTGGTAACCCTACAACCCCCTGGTAACTCTGTTACCTACCCGGTGGATCCACACGCGCCCGTGATGGTCAGCTTGGCCGCGCCTAAGAGTGGAGATGGCTGGGGGGGGTGGGGGAGGGGAGAGGAGGGGGGTTGGTGGGGGAGCGGAGAGGAAGGAAAGGGAGAGGGGAAGGGTTTAGTTGGGCGCGAGGGACGGTGTGGGAGGTGCGGGAAGCGAGAGGGGAAGAGCGAGTGGGAAGCGATAGGATTTTTTTAGTCGACTCAAGCAAAAAGGTGAGAGAGATAACAAAATCAAAAAGCAACATGTGCAGACGTAAGTGGCATGATGAGTTGGCATGATGAGATGGAAAGAGCACACTTGGCGAGACATGAAAATGTGCAGACGTGGCCTTGATGGGGTGGGGAACTTACGCCGTGAGCTCCACGTCGGATGTGAGAGCGAGCTCTGTGGTAGCCGCGTCTGCTCCTAACTGTATTCATGCCACGTGGATACGCACAACGCACACACACGACAAAACGTTCATTCGGCACTGCTTATGTCGAATTTGAGCCGTCCGCGTCACAATCCTTCCTTGGAACCGATCTGACACCCAGAGAGGAGAGCTCGCCTACAAGTGGGCATTTCCATGCGTGTCGTCAACGATGCGATGAGACTACATGCGCGAGAATCAACAGCTGTGATACTATAGACATGATAGATACCAACGGTGTGTAACTATCCATGTGAATCGACTCAAAAGGCTGTCATGCAATATACCTCATTCGCCTGGTTGATGGCTTCTTCCAGCGTCATTGCCGCGATAGTCGCTGGACCGCAGATCATCCCGATGAGTACTAGCGACGCGACGAGGAGGGTGGTGTGCTGGCGGCGTGTGATTGGTTCCCTTGGAGAACAAGCCATCTTGAGACCGACGACGAGTGCTCCTAGTGTGGATCAGAGAGAGTGGCAGACAATCAGCTCCGAGTTTCGTGAGCGGCGGCGGCAAGTAAGTCTACGTACTTGGATGATGTGAACTGGGAGGAACTATGCTTGGTTTATATTCGAGCAAGATCCGACTCGGAGTCACGAGGTGCGGACGTGCAAGAGATTGTTAGCTGAGGTCCCAGAGGGTGCGAGATACTCACTCACCGCATCGCCTCGCAGCTGTAATTCACACCTTTCGTGTTTATTGCTCAACAGGCGGCACATGCGGCGACTGGGTCGTCGTCACTCCACCGCACCGCATCTCAGGGCTTGCAGTCATGCCTTCCTGGCGCCGCGGCGCGAATGGAGGCGATGGGAGCGCCGGTCCATGCGCGGTGGCAGGGCTCAGCGCTACGGGACGTTTTTTGCCCGACGTCACTGACATTTTAGTTCTGGCAGGACTGGAAATTAAATATCTGTGCGTCTCAGGGTCCGGCTAAGGTGGGTCCGACTACATCGCCTTGCGATTTTTTTTGGGATGTAATCGCCTGAGATGTACTGCCAGTCTGTCTCAGTATAAAACCTCGCTACCCACTGGGTCAAAACGAGGGTGTTATTTGGCGCAGCAGAGTGCCCTTAACACAGCCCACAAGCGTCACACTCGTCCCCCCCTGGTACCAACGTCCCCGTTGGCTCGGACTTCAGGGAGTCGGCCCCCTGCAGCTGGGACCTAGATTTCAGGATCGTTCACTGGGTTCGAGCTGGTAACCACATTTCAGTTCTCGCCACAGGTGGAAAATGTGGACCAGCCGGGACTCGAACCCTAGGCTCTGATACCAGTATAACACCTCGCTACCCACTGGGTCAAAACGAGGGTGTTATTTGGCGCAGCGGAGTGCCCTTAATACAGCCCACAGGCGTTACACTCAGCGCCACGAATGTCGTCGTCTGTCGAGTTTGCCCCTGAAGCTCACCCCGCCGATGACGGGTCTAGCGCGGGCGACCGATTCTCCTCTCCAACTGGGGCCCGGCGCGCAAGCCGCTTCTCCGTCTCACCTGAGCACATTCCGCTCCTCCATATTCTATCCATGCCGCCATGTGTGCACAAGCTACTTTGCCCCTGCTCCGTGTATATTTCCCAAATTCCGTGTCGTGACTCGTCGCGTTCGTACCGGCGCCACGTCAAACAGAATACAGAAGCTAGGATGCGTAAACACCTGAAGGGGCGAGTTAGCGTTCTGGGAAAGCAAAAACTATCTAGTGGCCTACCTGAGCGCAACAGAAGGATACACGAATGAAATCGTGGAGGCAGAGAAAGGGAAGCAGAAAGGTACAGCTCTTCCAACCCATAAGGCGTATATGTCATCGATAAATTCCACCGGAATTTCAAATAGCGCGTACATTCGTACCTGTCCTGCGCGAATTCGTGCAAGCGTTGGCCCAGATCAGTTGTTTGCACAACTTCTGTAAGCTCCGTGCGGTCAACTTCGTTTCGTCACGATGCGAAACGGTTAAATTGTGAGCACCGCTCCACCAGACGGAAGCGCACTGAGCCACCATAAAATATATGTAATTGTGCGACAAATGTACTACCTGAGGTCGCCCTAATCTGAAATATATGATGTTCCACCTTTTCTTGCTCGATCATTGGGCTCCATCATGCTATGACAATCCTAACCAAGCGGATCCATCAGTAGCCGCCTGCGACCTGAAAGGATATCATGGCACCTGAGGCCATCGTAACTGCCGGATCGAATTCTATAAGCCTCATTGAAGCGAGTTTCGAATTCCAAATCAATCTGGCTCCTCCTTCCTCTTTCCTCTTTTCTCGTAGAACCTGAATGGAAACTCGTGCTGCGCCGATAGCGCGGAGTAGCAAGGACGATGTTTTTTTTATGTTTTCAAAGAACCCCCTCCTCTGTGGTAGTAGGCGGCGAGCAGCCAGCTCAGAGGAGCCGCTTTCGGATTACATCAGCTCGCGACCGCCGGCATATCAGCTGATAGTCTTATTCGTTTACTTCGTTCGAGCCCATTCCTGTAGATGACACGACCGTGACTAACACCTTCGCCATGACAAACACCTTGGCACATGTCTAAATAGCCATGGCACACACGTTTGTCCAATCCGCGATCGTCTTCGCTTGTGAGTGTCTCATACCCTCACCGCTGTTCGTCGAGGAATAGAAAATAATAGCAAACGACAACATAGATCATGAGAGTTTTAGAGGTCATCAAAAGTAGTCATCTGGAAGAAAAGTGGTTGGGAAGAAAGGGCGTGACAGGTCGGCCAGGTGTGAGACGATCTTCGCGAGCACGTATAGGGCCTTTGACCTTGGCAGCACCGGTTTCAGGCAGAGGGGGGAAGCGGCAAGATACAGTGAGGACAATAACGGGAGACGCCATCGCTTTGAGTGCATGACACCTCTGAGTCGGACCGTTGCCAGACATTCAAGTGCATGATCATACTCGAGACCATTGCCACGCAGTGCCTGACAACTGCGCTTGCTCACCCTACTCGCCTGCTCCCTGGTCTTCCTTAAAATCCGCGATGTTTCTCGAAACCTGCTTCATCATTGTTCTGCGCGTCCGCTCTGCGAATTCGAAGTGAAAACGATTCTTCCTGTCCCGTCGTTTTTCGGTGTGCAGTGCTGCTCTCTCTCTCCTGCAGCGCCATCGCTGGCCGCCACCTGCTCGTAGCCAGTGGCATCTACAACCACTTTACGTCGCCCTGCCTTGCCGCACTTGCACCGAATTGGAAACAACATGCTCCCCTCACTAAATAATCTCATACTCCCTGCTCCGTATCGATCTTCCCTACACCAATCCATGCTCCATGTCTCATGCTGTCGTTACTTCTACGCTGGTCTCCGTTCCTCTTCTCCCCGCCGACGTGTGGTTATCCTTCCCATTTGTCGCGCAGACGATGTGGTGGCAACGGTTGCCTCGAGCATTTGCTTTTTGACTGGCTCATGTACCCTGGTTGCTGATGTGTAAGCGATACTTTTCTTTCGTTACTTGTTGCCATAAATCGCATTATCACTGTGAACGTGTTGAAGAGGGCCCCACAAGAAGTCGCAAAAGCTTTGTCTGCAGCAGCATGAATTTTTTTCCAAGGACCTCATTTCCCATGATTCTCTCACATAATCCGCCTGTCACCCTCTCTCCAATCCCCTTCTTCGCCCTCTCCTCTTGCAGCACGGCCAGCTCCCAATCGTATACCTACGTCTTTCGCGTTGTGGGCATAACTATGGGCAAGTCAGCAACTGTCACCACTCCCGGTTTCTACAAAAACAGCACGGAAGCCCTCATGAAAGCAATTCCGTGCACACCCAGTGAGG